CTGACTCGACGGCACATAACAACAACAACAACAAATAATAGCAATGAAATCTAAGAATATATAGGAATAAATCTATCACAGAATATGCAAGGCTTTTATGGAGAAAATATTTTAGATATTACATCTTTGTTAGTTTTAGTTGTGTATGTCATAATACCTTCCTACATTTCTTTCATATTTGTTGTAATAACATCTCATGGAGAAATACATCCCTAGAATTAGTTAGACCATCAGAAAACTGTATACATACTTAGACAAAATCATGTTAATCTCTGCAGAATTGCTTTTATGGATTTTGCTTTTATCATAATTATGTTTTACTTTTATTAAGCATTTTTAAAGAAACCATTTGATGGAAGTTAACAATGTTCAAGTATGTTTGCTAAATAATTGTTGATCATGTTATATTATGTTAAATAATACAAGATCCATTTGGAAAATTTTCTTTTTTTATCTCAAAATTAGTACTATTGCCCTTGATAGTACTATTGCCCTTAATAGTTTGTTCTTAACTTATGAATGTTCAATGTTTGTCTTGTGTTTTGGGGTTAGCATTGGTTGCCTAAAAGCTTAAAAGCTAGTTTATTACTTATTACTTCAAATTAGAATATAGGACATCATGTCATTCTTGTTGTACACTCACTTAATTCCTACCTTCATCTTATCTTTTCAGTTTCAGTTTCTCTTATTCTCATTTTCCTTATTTCAAATGTGTTTATCTTATTGCAGTGTACACTTCTTTGGAGTCATTTTAACCCTATTATTGGGGAGGGGCAGAACAAAATAGGTGAAAACAAACATGTCAACATAAGCAATATTTTCAAGTCAAGTAAAATTTAAAGTCAAGGAGAAGGACCTTTACGGTTTTGATGGCAAATCCTTAGCGAATTGATGCCCACAGTAAACAAACGCAATCTATTCTACTTGACTGTTCTGGAGAAAAGGCTGGACTTAAGTCTTTGTAATATAAATATTTCTGAGCTCAGGAAACATTTCTAGTAAGTCATTTATTCATTGTTCTTTTAAGTAATTCAATGGCTGCTTGCAACATTGAGAATTCTGTCCATTCTTTGTAAATTTCCTCACAAAGGCAGTTTCCAATATTGATGAAAGATCCATTGTGTGTTGAGGAATGTGGAATCTCCCCAGCTTTATTATGAATGTGAACTCAAGGATGTGGCTTTGTCATTTTAGCAAAACCACACCCCTATAATTCTTTTCTTGATTGTAGAGGTATTTAGGAACTTCTGGCTTAAATGTATATATATATATATATATATATATATATATATATATATATATTTCCAAAAATTATAATAAAACATTTTTAAAAAAAAAGGAGAATTGGGGGGAGAACAGCACTCTATTACATGACAGTGCCATCACTGTTGTACTTGCTTTTAATCTTTATGGACATATAGTACTCTTGCTTTTGATTATAATTTTAATGCATGAACATAAAAATCTTAAATATTTGAATATATATATGGACAAAAACTTTATTCAGTCAAGCAACATGTATTTATTAGTTACTGAGGATTTACTATGTGCTGAGAATTTACGTTTAGTTGAAGCCTCTATTTGTATGATATTTAGATATTCAAAATGTTCAATACATGGACTCTCTCAGTATTTTACATTTTTGAGCAAGCAAATGGATTTATTTTTAAAAGAATGCCACAGAATTAATACTGCTTTATTCTGGAAATATTCATGGAACTATTTCCAGGAAAAAAAACAAACTCACTGCTGTTGAGTCGGATCCAACTCATAGCATCCCCTGCTTGGGTTTCTGAGGTGGTATCTCTACGGAAGTAGATTGCTCAACCTTCCTTTCGAGGAGTAGCTGGTGGATTTGAACTGCCAGTCTTCTGGTTAGCAGTCAAATGGCTTAGGCACTATGCCACCAGAGCTCCCATAAAACTATTTAGTATTTGTTTTTATGTCATATTTTAGAAACTGTTTATACAAATCATATATTCTAACATCAAGAATAATATTCCATTAACTATGACACTACATTTCTTAACACTTTATGATAAACGCTATAGATATGCCTACACAAGAATATTAACATCTGATTCCTTCAAAATAATGGAGGCAGGTCTAATCTGTCTTAATAGAAAGCAAAAGAAACTGTAAAGAAAACAAGTATAATAATTTGTAAAATCTTTGTAAAGAAATTAAGTTTAATTGCAGTGTATGGACTTGAAAAATAGTTGAAAATGACAATT